TTACTATCCTCTCCCTTGTATGAATTTTCCCGCTATTAAACAATTTTAATAGTGCTGTGTATATTGATTTAAAGAGTTTATATTTTTATCCAGCAAAAATCTTGTACTTAGATAAAATATAAATAAATGTATTTATATGATTAAAGTTTATAAATATATTTGCGCTGTATGAAAAGTTTTACCATGACAATAGAATAATAAAGTTAATATGATATTAGGTTCCTAACCAACGGTGCATAGCGTCTTTGTCAATTTTTTGTATTAGGAAATGACACAAACAGAAGATATTAAGCTCTTCAATACCAAAACATATCGCATTTAGAATTTTTTTACATCAGATGGGTTACTATGTCCTAATCCAATATTTTTTTTCTAGTTTAGATTAAAGTTGTACAGTCACAAATAATTTGACTAGAAACTTCTAATTTAGGTCAAAGATAGACAGTTCTAGAGACCTCTTTTGCTTCCTTTTATTGTTTATCTTCTGTTATTACGTTCAGTACTCAGTTAATACGGAAATCATTTCATTAAAAATATATATTAATTAAATTAAGATATATTTCTTATAACTTCAACATTTATTTTTATATTCTGTAAAACTGGAAGACTCTGTTTCCCTTCCTCATTGCTTGTCTTCTATCGCTGCGTTCAGTAGTTATTTGGTTAATATAGAAATTTTAAATATTGCAAGCTATTTCTTTAACAGTATTTATAATTTATTTAAGTTATTTTTTTTTATAACTAACATTTATTATTAAATTCTGTAAAATCGCCTGTTAGTTTAGTGTATAGCCTAGGCAAAACCGTATCTATGCTATAATATTTGCTTTGTTATTTTTAAAAATATTTTGCATTGAAGTCAATTGAAATAAATTTCCTCAAATGTGTTTAAACAATAAAACATCTTCTAAATTATAAGAATAAAAATAAAATATATATAAAAATGTAAATCCTATGAATAAGCTCCCAGAAGTATGCTTCATAAAAATTCCTAGCTCACAACAAACTCGCTAAAAGAAAAGAAGCAGCAGTTAGCAGAAAAAATATTAGTGGCACATCACGATGAATACAAATGTGCTCGAACATACAGTATATATTTATGTATATGTAAACCATTATATAAAAGCCAGCATATGTACTCGTATATATATCTTTATAAATACTTAGTTCATAGAGCTAAAATAACGTGTAAAGAATGATAAAGAAACTTAAGAAATATTTTTCTTCTAAGAAAAATGTCACAAGTTTGTTCTGAACTTAGTGATTTTCTTTCTGGTGCTCTCTGCATTTGGGTACAAATAATGTTGAAAATACGTTTATTGCAATCCGAATACAAATATATATACAATATATACGGCAGTCAACAAGATATATATTTATTTAATAGAAGACAACTACACACAACTACTAACTTAAATTTAGTAGCGAAGTAATGCAAGCAGTTCCTTCTTGCCTGCCAGCCAGCATTTGTAATGTTCATTTTTTACTATTTTATATGACGCCCTGCCCTAAAGGCATTCGACTGCTATTAATGCAGTCAAAAATGTCAAATTCATTTCGATTTGTTTTCAAAAAAAAAAATATATATATATATATATATATTTAACAGAAAAAAAAACTCTTGAAATGAGGAAGATGTTAAAGAAGAAAATCCTTTGCGCTGCCTCGTACATAAATGTTTGCTACATGGAAAATAAAAGTTGCGGATTGCAAAAGTACAATCAAGTAGCATTCAAAATTGAGAAAAAAGTATGAACCAAAATATATTTGGAAAAAATTTTGTTAAAAAATCAAGAAAATCGCATAAAAATCATTTATATGTCTGGCATGTGACAAGCATGCGATTTTAACTTCATGAATTATTTAAAGCAGTTAGTCTGAAGTAGATTACAAAAAATAAATCACATAAGTTGCGGTAATGCAACTAAAACATTTTATAGTTGGGGAATGTATAAAATGTATAAAATGTTTCAAAAGGATTTCAAAAGTTTTAACCTTAAAAATTGTCGTCGCACTCGAAGTGCAAGTTTAATGCAGGTATGGATACCCGTACGCTGACGTAGGTATGCTATAAAATTGAGGTCGAGATGAGGTTATCGCTTTAACAATTTTGGAGTTCATGCAGTATGACTAATTTGGTTTTTACCTTATAGTAGTGGCTTTTAACAGCTATTTAGTTCAGTCACTGCGAATTACTTTCTAATATCTGATAGTTAACTTAATTAATATGTATTATTTAGAATCACCAAACTAGAAGTAGATTTCAGGTAGTACTTATTAAAGATATTGTACTATATTATATACTAAATCTCTATCATCAGTTTTTGTTTTATTTTATTCAATACTAAAGTAGATGAGACAATATCACCCGTAGAAAGCTCGGCTAGGTTCGGCTGATTGTTTCAAAAAGTGGCACTCTCCACTTCAAAAATATATAGAAATAAATAGGAATTATGTTGGAAAAATGAAAATTAAGGTTATGAAAAGAAATAAGTTTCAATTTGTTTTTGTAGTTAAATAAGCGAACTTTTGTCAGTCCCCTCGTATCATATTTATATATCAATGAATTCCAGAAATTATAATAATTTCTTTTGAAAAACAAGATTATGTCAGCTTTATGGTAGTGAATTTTATTAATAAATATTTAAAAAAATTGCAGATTCATACCTACCCTCCTCTCAGAAGTATCACTCAAGTGGCTCAAACCTTCACTAATAATATGGTTGTGACAGGTTGTTGTCTGTTCATTCATTTTACTTTAAATACATAACGAACAAATCAAATAATTTATATTTTATATAAATTAAAATAAAATACAAAAAAAAAAACTTGAAATTAAATTATGTATTATATCACACTTACATCATAAAATTATGTTGAAGGATTACATTGCTCATATTTTCACACTCTTGTTGTTGTTGCTGCTGTTGTGATATTCACACTGATTTCCATAATATAATAAAAATGTTGAAAATGGCAACGACAATAATAATAATAATAATAATGATAATGATGTTGCTCTGCCTCGCTTTGGTTAGCTGATGATGACATGTCAGCACAAATTCAAGTAGGATTTTCATATTTTATCCTTATTTGATTGTTGAGGATTGTTGGTGCCATTACAGCACTCACTATGTTGGGATAGCTACGAAATGCCACCACAACTCCAATGTCGCCACAAAATGGTTGTTATTATAAAGTGGCTGCTTTCTCCACACAAATTCAGATACTCCTTATAAAAAGTATACTCATATCTTAGCAAATATGCAATGCAATGTGTGTATATGCAAATTATGTGCATCACTCTTGGTGTTGCAGTTAAATAAATCTTTACGGTTTTCTTTGCTTTCATTGCTCTCCTTACTTTTACACAATATTTCATATTTTTTCTTTAGAGATTTTGTTTTTTATATCAGCTTCTTCAGTTACAATAACAAAGTCAACAATAAAATATATAACAACTGCATAAGTCAAAGCTTAAGATTATCAGTCATATTCACATATGCAAATCCCATACAACTTTTGCTCCTCCTCTACTGGCATTACTATCCTTAGAATCGCAGTTTAAAAATGTATACGCTTTTTGTCATGTGTACACATGCATGAAAATTTAAAAAGGTAAAAAGCAAATATAGAAAAAAAGATATATATATAATATATAAGAAAAAGCAATAAAAATTATTCGTGAATATAAAATGTGAACTACGGCAGTAGGCACGCTTGATGGCATTTAAATGCATTCAATGACTTCAAGGAAAATCTTATTTCTGCTGCAGCTAAAAAAGATTATATTCATGATTTTCAAATGTCGATTTCGCCGTTTTTAAATTTTTAATATCATCTCTTTTAAAGCTACTTTAATAGTTCTTCTAAGCTATAAACAAGACCATTAAGATAATTATAAATTATATCGGATGTGGATGAAATATAGAAACAGACGATAACTTTGTCTCAGAAAAGGAGAATTACACATTCCCCTTTTTATCAAGTATTTTAGGTATATGAGTTTTTATGATGAGTTTTTCATTAAAACCAATACTATCTTAACATATAGACATGTATGGGATTTATTTTGTATGAATATTTGTCTATGATAAAGCTGCTGTCATAATGAGAGTTAATATTGCTCAAAACGCAGAGAGCTGTTTGGAGCTTTTCAAATATTTATTAATCAGTGTTTCACATCAATATGTAATAATGTATAAAATATGGATTCCCTATTTCACTACTGCTTCAAAACGGCAGCGAGCTGAGTAGATTGCAATCAGTGAAAGTGACCAAAACCTTGTAAGAATGTGGCATTCGTGTTTTATGATGGCTATAGTATTCATCAACTATCTTGAAAAATAAATTAATATCAAATTGAATATTATGTTATATATAGTCTCTGTTGCGTATGGATGATGAGATCGCGAAAAAAAACCGATCCCAAATGAAGATAATTTTTCGTCTCACAGATAGTTGGTTTCAGTGACGAAATTGTATACACTACACATCGAATTACTTCAGCACCCGTCTTTATTCATCAGATTTGACCACCAATCTTCATTGTCTGTTTGAAGACTTTAAAAAATACGCTATGGAAGAAGATATTTGTAAAATAAAGAAGTCATCGTCGCAACAAACGTCTATTTTGAGACCAAAGATTAATTTCTCTACAAGAAGAGTATTTTAGAGAAGTTCTGAAAGGGGTATATTGTTCTTGATTAAAAATATATGAATGAAGATAAATTTCCGAAAAACAAAAAATGGGTTTATAAAACTTAGTCTCAGTTACTTTGCAGACGATGTGTTAAATCAATTTTTAAAAAGTACTACTTATTTTGTTCTCCACCCCTTATCTTAGAGTCGCAGTAACGAAATTTGATGCTTGAGATCAAAATTCCTAATGTTCAGAAAATTAGAAAAAATTTATAAAAATTTTAAATAATCTAGTTGGCCTGTCAAAATACTCAGTAAAATTAATTTTAAATTTAAATTCTAAATGAAAAAAATTTTCTTCAAATTTCTTCTTGTCTTGCAAAATTATTACAAAATTTTGGCTTGTATTTGAGTTATGGATCAAAAAAAAGCAGAAAGTGCTAAAAAGGCGAAGGAAGATTTAATTGATTATACGATAATCTATTTGAGTGCTATATTAGCGCTAATCGTATTGATATTTGGTAGAAATATTTTGAACAGCTTATGTGGTTCTTGCAACTAATATTGACTTTCAATAAAAGAAAAAAATTTAAAAATATTTCAAAATTATCAAAATTTTATTATATGAAGACCAATATTGCTGCATAATATCTTCAAGTATTAGATTAACATCTCTGCTTTAGTTGACTTGCATTTGAAGATCATAAAGTAAGTTTATGTGTATTCGATATATGAAGAGGATAACTTCTCTGGTTTTCGTATTTGCAGTTTACAAAGTGAATTCTGGTATACTGTGAATTTGACGAGAATAGCATCTCTGGTATCTCTTTTAATGCTTTGGCTGATAAAGTAAATACTGTTTTATATGTATTGTGTATTTGTAGAGAATAACATCTCAAAATTTCGAATCGTGTGCTGTAAATAGAAGTTCATGCCCGTTTAATATATTTTCTTCTGTGCTATCTGACTTACAACAGTGGAATCGTGTTAAGCTGTCCAAAAACGTTTAAGATCTGGAATGAATGAAATATACAAGTATGAAAATCTATGCACTCTGGATTCAAAAGTCATTTGCTAATCTATTTTCGTTAGTGCTTGTACTGTAAATGAAAACATCATCTACTTTAGAAGAAAATATCTTTCACTATATAGTATTTCCAATTTTGAAAAGTAAGCAATCAAAAATTTCCTCCAAATGTTTTCGACAAACAGAAAGTCAGAAACGGTAATCAGAATCTCTAAATTTCTAATTATATCGAATAACTGAAATAAAATTGTTTTAAATTTATTTAATTTTTTTTAATAGATAAAAGTATGAAACTTTCTTTCTATATACCGAAAATTGGGGTCTTTTATGCCAAAAACCAAATTAGAAGTGATGTCTTTAAAGTGATAATACTATAATTGAAAACTCATTCTATAAGGATATGAAAATATCTGAAAACCAATCATGCAAGGATATTGAAGCAAATTGATTTTTGACTATTGTGTACACCTTCAGAAATTTTTATAAAATGGACTGGTTTAGAATTAAACTTATGCAAAATATATTTTCAGATCTTTCGTTAGATACATTCAACTATTAAAAAGCTGAAGACTAATAAGGATTCGCTTTTATACCACAAATTTTTAATGAAATGCAGTACATTCTTTGGAAATAACTTTTAGCTTATATTTCATATAATCCTTTATATTCTATAATAAAGTCTCTATTGAATGAGTTTGCATGGCTTTTTTAATAAAAATATTTAGTACGATTTCAAACAATTTAAGGCAATAAAAAGGATTTTCATAAAAAGAAAATCCTGCTTAAATAAATCAAAAGGAAAACAGCCTTGAGTTTTCCCCATCAACTGCCTTAACAATTGATGCTTGCTTTTGCCACATCCTTTTACATTACTGCATTTCGTGACCTGAATTATTGGTGGCATATTGGCACTCATTGACTCTGCATCATCAGCAGCATCATATATTTATGAGGCAGCAGTTTATAACTTCCGGCAAGACTTCCGTTAACAGTTTCGTGTGTAATGTTAAATGAAGTTAAATTGCTGTAAAATGTGGTAAGAGCAGCAGCTAGAAGTGTATGTCACCCAATATATTCTCACAGGAAATATATATATACATATATAAATATGTATAAGTACATACATATATATGTAGGTATACATATATATGTATATCAGTTGTAAATAACGAGCCTATAGAGCTATGCCGCATACTCCTTGTTTAATGTCCTTCTACTTTGTAGTCAGAGTTTTTTTTTCTTTAAAGTTGCCCTGCGATTTTCTTTGAAAGCATTTGTAGGAGATTTGTGTGTAGTCATGTTTATGTTGCGCTTCGAATGCGCATTGAAGAAGTGCATGTGCAACTTGCTCCTCCATGGTAGCGCTGTTGTTATGTGTGGCGGAGCTTCACTGCATTGTCTGTGATTAATTTTCTTTATTTTGCGTTTTGTAGTCTTTCACCAAAAAATGTTTCAAACACCAAATGCCAACAATGACTCAAGTCAGTTGCTGCTCCTGCACACAATTCTTTAGGTTGGCAGCAGTTTGTCAACGCCAACTAAAACGGCGTCTTCTTGCTTTTCTTCTGCAATGGCTCGTTAGGAGTAGAGCTCTGGTTTAGGTTACGTATAGTGCATAACAAGCAACAAAGCTCTAAAGCCCACTTCTTTTTCTACTTCTTGGCTCTATTATGTGTTGTGTTGTTATCCTTGTTGTCGTCAGTGTACTTTCAGTTGTCGTCATTTTGCTTATTGTCGTCGTGGTCGTCATTGAAACTTCTACACTAGTACGATTTTATGGCATTGTTGTGTTTAGTCAGTGTGGAAAGTACTACCATTATTGGTATGATTTTATTTTATTTCTTTTTATTTTTATTTTTTTTCCACTGCGGGTCCTTAATAATGTGCAAAGACTTTCGCATTTTATATAAGCTTCTTCTACCAAGAACTTCAAATAAATTCTTCTTATATATTTATTTTTTAATATGCAATTAAATTGTTTATTGAGTGAAAAATGTTCTGAAATCGAATGCAATTATTTATTTAAATATAAAATGTAAGGAAATTATAATTTTTCACTCCTCTTAGTAATAAACTGAAATTAATGAGTTATTTGCAAGTGCTTGAAACCAAATTGATTGATCGGGTGGGATTGCAATAATGCACATTTCCTATAGCTTATGAGGTTGTGCCTCTAATTTGAGTAATAAATAGTAATTTTAAGAAAATTTTAACTTCACAGAAATAAATATGAAAAGTCATTTATTATGATAATTTAAAAAAAATTTTTTTTATTTGATTCTTTTCAGGTATGTATAGCAGACATTTTTGCAAAATTTATTTGTATTTTTATATTGGTAAGTTCTTATAACTAACGAAAATTTTTATAAGTGTAAGTGAACCATTTTAAATACAAAATACTCTGAAAGCTCTTATACTCTTTACCTGTCATAATTAATTTGTTTCGTTGGGTAGTTGGGCCACACTCTACACAAACCCTATAACGAAATCGCACATGTAGTTTTAGAATAGAATAGAATCCGCAAGGAAAAAGAAATCGCGGTTGACCAAAGATTACATGAAGAAGGACAATCAACAAAAAATCGGACAAATGTCTCAGTCAACAAAGAGCTATAGCACGTAAAATAAATAGTAGGAAATTAGACTAAGTTTCTGAATTTATATTTTTGAACATGTCAATTATAATAATAATATCAAATTTGGTTGGTTTTATTTAAACAGTACTTCATCTTATGACGTCGATTTGTTGCCACCTTATAAGACATATTCATATACTACTCATAGACACATATAATACACTTAAATAGATTATATGATATAATTTTTATAGTAAGTATAAGCAATGGGGGATTTGCTAATGGGTCTGTGGGTCTAGAGGGCCTAGGTTCAGTAGGGTCTTTATTAAAATTAAAATTATTGATATTTTATAATAAGTTTTAAAACGTGTCTTTACACATAATATGTTTTCTTCCGCTTCTAAAACTTTACTCTTTATTATTTAGATTTGTATTGTTTACAGTTTGTTCGATTATAATACAAATAAATATTTAAAAAATATTTATCTACTACTTCTAGAGAACTTTGATGATTTTTTGTTAATGTATGTGAAAACACATCTATTGCATATTACAATATGCAAAAAATTACTGATATATATTTTCATTGTGGAAACTCTATTGTGAGTTTCTTGAACTGTGCATGACTTTAAATATAATTAGTTGACACTGATCTACTTACGATATATTTTACTAGTGTCGTATTGGCATTGTTTAACAGAGATAATATTTTCTCTGAGGCGTGCAAAAGATAATTACGAATATTGGTATTACTTTTTTCCTATGTTTCTTTGTTAACATTGGATACTAGTAGCTACTCTTAAATAATATTTGTGGCATGATTATTAAGCCATGAGCCTTTTAATTTTTTAACCAAGTAGATTTTTTTTAGATATAATAGTCTTTTTTTATTTCAAAGCTTATGGAGAAGTAGAGGATAATACAATTTTAATCGGCTGCGTATAGAAACACACGTCGCTGTGAAGAGTACTTGCTGGTGATGACACCAAAGCTGTCAAAGATTTTATATATATTAGCGCCATCATGAATAACATCAATCCCAGTCTAGAGATCAGAGAGAAAGTACCATTGCTAATAGGTGTTTTTATAAGTTCAGCAGGCAATTAGAATATATAGAAGTTTCTCTCCTCCAACAATACTTAACCTCTATAGAGAGATGGTTCTGTGTCCTTCCGGTACTACTGTAACTTATAGAACAGAATCATATAATGTTTAAACAACACTGGAAAATACATTGCCAGAGTTTTGGTTCACTGATGCATCTTTGTTTAAAAACTACTGTCGTATCCATGTAAACTAAACACTGTACTGACTTTATCACGGCATTGAATTATTCGGTAGCTTCGCAGTATTAGTCATGTTCTAAGAATGTAGAATAAAACTTTAGTAAACAAGATATAAAAGCGACAGTTCTAAGAAGTAGACATAGAAGACCGTGTCCTCGGTGCAATGATCAAGTTGAGGGAGCATCAACTATGCTTGATGTATGAGATGATGTAAATGGGGCAAAAGACTCGCTTCAGGGGAAGTGTTAGTTTAGGATAAAAACTAGATATGACTTGTTTGGGTCAAGTAAATAATTGAGCTTATGAAATACTTTACTTTCAAATTTAAAATCTGAAATTTTTGTCTATTTCGGCAAATAAAACTTAAAATCAGACATAATTCCTTTAAAAAAATAATATTTGTGGCATTGCTATAAATGGAATTTGAGAAAAATAGCAAAATCATTCAGTTATCTGGATAATAACTAAGAAAAAGGATGCAATAACTTCTCCTGTGCTTTACTGTTGTGTTTTCGAAGTGCTTAAATATGTCAGAAAATGCTTAAGTTCTCATAAAATTTAAATTAAATTTACAAGAACATTTACTTTTGTTGACATTTCGCACAATAAATGAGTGAAATTTTTTGGCAAAGTTATGACAACTTCCTTACAAATAATAAAAGTTTTGGAAATTTTCCTTACTTGAATTATGAATATTTCCTTTGCTATTTATTTTATATTATTTTGCTAGAAATCTTTCGTTTGATGTAGTACGTGTAATGCGACTGCCAGGAAAAGGAATGGAGAGATGGAAAATTATTTCTTAAAATTTTTGCTTTTGCAAGTGGTAAAAAAGTAATTAAAAGTACAGAAATGACTTATTAAGTCTCTTGTTGAGCCAGAATCCAAGCGACTGTCAACGAATTTACTTCAACTTTTTATCACTTTTATTAAAAAATTAGTTATAAAGTACAAGGGAATTTCTGTGTAAAACAAATGAAAAACGAAAGTTAAAAATATTAAAAATGATAAAGAAATATAAAGAAGAGAAAGAGGAAAGAAATTTTTTTTGTGCTCAATAAAGTTTGGCTTATTTAAAAAAAATCTGATCTTAGTTGTTAACTACTTATATCTCATTGAAATCATCTTATGATATGTGTTCACAATAAATTCCTAACCCTTTTCATAGGATTCGATTTTTTCTTCGATATAACTTAATATAAGACTGTATCAAAATTATGTTCTTAGTTGATAAGTACTAACATCCTATTGAAATCATCATAATATCTGGTCTTAAAAGATGTTTAAATATTAGCCGTCATTTTTTCTTTTAGAGTAGGAAAAGAATACTTGCAATTTACGAAAGAAAGCATGCGAAGCAACAACAATGCTCTTAAAATCTTCAGAGTTAGATTTTACTCGCAAAAATTTTTACGTCTTCAGTTTAAGTGCAGGCAAATTCAAAAATCAGTCCATTGTGATATTTACTGAAAATATATTGCACAATTCTAATAACACATTAAAATCATATGAGCATTTCATTTACTAATAAATTTAATTACATAAATAAATCAATTAATTTAAATATATGATAAAAATGCTCATCATTGCTGTTTAGTGTTGCTCTTTAGCACAATTTTTATATCTTATATATAAAATATATATTAAAAGAGAATTTAACATATATTAAAACTAATGCCAATTTGTTTCAAGCAGACCTAATGTTGTTTTTTTACAACTCTGAAAGAAAAAATTACGGCTATTATAGTAGAATGATTATACTATATTATAATTTTTTCTTATAATTTGCTTTATATTATAAAAAATAT